CTTTCTTTTTCTCTTTCAGTTGGCAGCATGACAGGAATTTCAAGAGCCTTCAAAACAGAATACCAGAAAGCACTTTGGTATCTTGGATCAGCTCCAATTCCAAATAACTTGGGTAAGGACAACCACTCTGATCCATGGTCTTTAACAACTTTAAGTGCTTCTTGCAACATTGGCCTCTGCACTTCCTGACGAAAGTGGTTGATGGCTACAGGATCCTTCAGTGACATCTTCACCTGCTGCTCAGTTAAAGGAAAATATGCTGATGGAGACATCAACATTTTACTTAATGTTTCATGATGTTTAAGGACAGTTGCAGGCCATAATCGTGGCGGGTATCCACTGGAGAAGCCAAGTTCTTGATCTGTTGCTTGTGATGCGTTGAGAGATGGAATAAGAAACTTGTCAAGAAACTCCTACAAAAACTTAATTTCCACTTGAATCAATCATTGGACAGGAGCTCAACTTGATAACATTTTGCCACGCTGTGTAGTGGCTGTCTGACTTTGGCATTCTTTCCAGGACACTCTCTCCAAGTTTTAGACAGGCTTTACCATATTTCAAGTGCCATTGAAGTGTCTCATAGTAGTATGTCCACCTCGTGTCAATAAAGGACTGGGGAAGGGGTGGCTCTTTATTTAAGATTCCTAGTGATACATACATTGATTTGTACTGACTTGGGCGTTCATGATGAAGCCAAGATACCTTATAAAGTAGTTGCAATACATGGTTGTTATTCATGTCACCCTTGGCCCCAAACCCAGCTTGGCACATCCTTCTTAACATAATGTTCAGGACGTGGGGGTAACATCCAACAAAGAACATGTCCTTTTCAAAAACCCTTGAATTATTTGCTATTAAACCATTAGCCTTCCCCTTCTGGGTTGAGGCATTATCCCCAACCAACCCTGAAACACTAGTTATGCCATATTCATCATGAACAACATGATATTCTACATCAGACGGGTGTTTTCCTGACCCACTCGCTGCCAAACTGTTACCAAGGACATATGCCCTGGGTTTATTGATCTCTGGGCACCAGGTGTGGACACCTACAATGTGCCACTCTTCGCCACCTTTGTTGGAGTCATCACTCCATACGTGGAAATCACATTGGCTACTTGCAAATCTTTTGCGTAATATCAGTTTATCGGCCTCCCCTAATAGGATATTCCAGTCTGCCAGTGTGGATGGCCAGACAACAACATTTGTTGGGGGACTACAGTTGAATAAAATACTGAAAATTAGATGTAATGCAATGGGTGTCTTTTTTGGCTAGAAAGCAAACATGCATGTTCTAAATATCTCATGCAGGCCATAAACATGACTGTTCTATGATTTGTTCCATTTTTGCCCTGAGAAAATGTATCTACAAGGGAATACCTAGGTTTCTTTACATTTTCATCATTTTCCTTTAATTGTCTTTTCAGCTTTGTGGAAGCAGATTTTGTCCCTCGTAGTTTGTTACCGACTTGTTTCGTTTTCAATTTAGTGGACTTCAAAGTTCTTTTAGACTTCTTTGCTTCTCTTTTTAACCTCAAGACATCTTTCCTTAGGTCATTGTTAATTCTTCTCAAAAATACTGTAAATATGAAAATGTCATTATTAAAAACTGTTCCTTACTATGAAAAATAGGGCCTTATTACAAGTTTTATGAGTGTACAAACTTGTATATGACTGCCGTGAACTCTTTTTCGTCCCATCTGCTCAACATTTAATTTGTTGCAATTTTAAAATAATTTGCTTGAGTGAGCTTGAATGTAAACATTAGCGAGTTGATCCCGCGTATCCCTAACAACAGCAGTTTCCCAAAAAAGTACTCTGCGCATGTCTCAAAAAATTGGGCATCAGGGGTCCAAGGGGGAGGATACCGTTCCGTGAGGCCTAAATTTAAGAACTTGAGTCAGGGTGTCGACTTCAACATAGTCATCCCTATCTGCAAGAGTCTCAAATAATATATAGATTTAGCCAAGCCTAAAAGCGGAGCTCGTCAGTTATTTTTTGGAATGTTGTTACTAATGAAAACAATCCAACATGTACATGTACGTGAGGTAAACTGCGAGCGATGTTATAGCGGAGCTCCGGCGGCCCGAAGGGCCGCCAAGCGGAGCCCCATACTCATATAGGAAAGAAAAGGAAACCCATGAATTGATTTTCCCATGG